ATTCACCCAAGCCTGCCTCTGACAGCTATTCAAATCTGGAAATCATTCTATCTCTAACCTCTCAGTGTTGCTTAAATGTCTCAGTTATTAGAATAAGATTAAACTAAAATGCTATAGTTCTGAAGTATTAAAACATAGTATAGGGATTTCCCTGGTGACACAGTGGTTAAGACTCTGCACTCCCAATGCAGGAGGCCTGGGTTCAATCCCTGGTCAGGGAACTAGATCCCACACGCATGTCACAACTAAGAGTTTACATGCCAACTAAGGAGCCTGCGAGTCACAACTAAGGAGGCTGAGAGCCACAAGTAAGGAGCCCACCTGCCGCAACTAAGCCCAGCGCAACCAAACAAATAAATAAATATTTTTAAAAATAGTATAAGATATAGAGAACAAACTAGTGGTTACCAGTGGGCAGGGGGACGGAGGGGCAATATAGGAGTGAGGGAGTGGAAGGTACAAACTATCGAGTGTTAAGATAGGCTTAAGCATATATTGTACAACAAGGGGAATATAGCCAATATTTTGTAGTGACTGTAAATGGAAAGTAACCTTTAAAAACTGTATAAAAATTTGAAAATTTTTAAAAAACAGTATAGAAAGTCTCTGTAGGATTATAAAATATTGCACTCAGGATGAAGGGAATGACATAGCTGGAGAACAAGAGGGAAAAAGAGACTTGCTTTTTATTGATAACCTTTAATACCTTTTGCATTTTATATACCTATTTATAAAATATTTTAAGACATTACAGTAAATAATATCCCAAGTGCAGATGAAAACTGAAAACAGTAAAGCACTTAAAATTTTAACAAGCCTGTTTTTAAAAAGAATTTTCTAAAAAGTCTTCTATATGAGCATTTGAAGTGGCAGTCTTATTTAATAATAATATGAAGGTTCCATTTTAAATTTGAATCCTATTAAAACTGCCTAAGAACTGTCACATCTGAATAGCAATATATAAGATCAAAACCACTCATTTAAAAGCAATAAGCACAACTTGGAATGACAAACAAAAATGGCACAGAACTTTCTTTTATATTTATATTTATAGTATACATTTTGTATTGTTATATAATATTCAAATACTATTTTAGTAGATAGTTTCACTTCTGTTTCCTTTCATATATATTTCATATATATATATATAGTACACATACCTTTCATACCTATATACATTATATGTATATATTTCTTTCATATGTATGGATAGTACATTTTGTTTTCTTAAGAAACCGAACCACAAAAAAAAAAAAGCCACCTCAAACTTAATTTTTTCCTCTACATTCCATAATCTTAAGGAGAAAGAAACAGAGCCAGCACATAGCCTAATAATAGAGACCTCAAAACTGCAAGTTCTACCACCCCTCATGAAGTCAATATACAGTTAGTCAAATCTCACAGGATTTTTTGAGAGTTTACCAAAGCTCTTGTTTCTCTGAGTACCTATGATATGCCCCTGCCCTTATCCACCAAAGCATTTGGTTAGGATCTCTCCTTTGCCATTTATAGTCAGCCTTGTAACAGGCTTACTTAAATACTTGCCTGACTCTCCTCCTAAAATATAAGTTCATATTTCTCGGAACACTGAAATGCATTACTTGGCAGATAGTAATACTGCCAAAAAGAACTCGTAGAATTTTTGTCAATAACTCTTTGGCACTATACAATCCTGAATTACTTCAATATTTCCTATCTCAAAGGATATTTTCAGGAAACTTTTAAATTTTCTTACTGTATTTTAATTCTTTAAAATAATCTGTATCATATGAAAGTTAAATCTCAGTTAACTATTCAGGGAATCAAACTCAATTTCAAAGCACTTTGACTAAATGGAGCTTTACTATTTGGGAAAAAATAAATAAATAAAATTCCTCTAAAAAATGAAAAACAAAAACCTTCCATGTACAACAAACATAAAATCTATTCAATGCAGGTACTCTACATAACACTATAGGAAATGTTTATCATCTATGAACATGTCAAAATTTTTAAATAATTAAAACTCCCATTAATAAAAGAATAGAGAAATAGTTTATTAAAAATAAAGTGTATAGAACCACTGAGTCTGGCACTAAAGTAATACTAATCTATAGCAAGAATTTGGAAAGATTTCAGGTAAAAAAATGCTAAAAGAGCACAAAAATGAAGGAGTGGGGAAAGAAAGGATGACAAAGAAACACCTAGACAGTAGACAAGTAAGATGTACATGTGTGTGGAGTTGTGAAAGGGCGTATAGTCTGTCCTCAAAGCTCATCTCCAGCCGCAGCATCCTTTCTACCCAGCAGGCAGGATTTCATTTTTCATTCACTGTCTACCAAAGCCAGGAGACAATGATTTTGCTCAGTTTTAACAACTTCCTATATTTTGGTAAACATGCAATGACCACAAATTAAGAAAGAAAAATTCATCATAATTGTACATTCTTAATTACAATTTAAGTCATTTTTAAAATGCAACCAACATTTCTCTGTTTTAGAACATCTTTTCCTGGGGTAAAAAAAAATTGCAAGAAATCAAAACTCAACTTCTTTCCCAATCTACCCAAGATAAAAACCAAAACCCTATTCTAATCAAAAAAGCAGATGACAAACTTTTCAGTATTTATCTTTAATCATTACAGTTGGTAAATATTTATAATCTTCCAACTACCAGATCATTTTAAAGTAAAAGTTTTTTTTGCTAAAAGAAAATGACACTGGATCAATTTATGAGGACAATTCTAGTATTAAAATCAGCATATGATGTTAACTCTAATCTCAGCAAAATAGTCATCTGCTAAACATTTAGCAAATATCAAATTCTTAGCTTTTTATTAATCAGTTAGGCTCTTTGATTTTCAAACATATTAGCTGCTGGACCTAAAACTACCAGCTAAATGAACAGCTTAATAACTAGGCAGGCATTATTTACTGTCAAAAATTATCACAAAGCTAAAAGCAAATTTGTCTTAATCAGTACTTTTGAAAGTTAATTAAAAACAAGAAAATTCTACTGTTAAGCCTATAATGAGTAAATTATTTTCCAAGTACCAGGCTTCCTTGTCTGTGTCTCTCTTCTTTGTATTTCCCAGGCAACTAGCACCTCTGGTGAGCACCTAGTCTAGTAAGGAGACCATTCTCTATTTAGTTGCATGTATGTCTATTAGGTAGCTTTTACTCACTACAGATTATTTCTAAATGCAGTTGATCAAAAAAATTTTATTATATTAAATACCCACTTGAATTTTTTTTAAAAAGAAACCAGAAAATGTTCTCATATAAATATGTAAGCTAAAAAATATATTAATGTAGTTCAAAAAGAAAACATGACCTTATGGAAACCACTCAAAAAAACTTTCCTTTTAATACCTGTAATTAAAAAAATACACACACACACACACACACACACACACACACACACTCTAGTTAATTTTCAGTGTTTTATTCTTATGGAAACAAAAACCAGCCAAATTAGAAATGGTTGCACTAAACTGAAATAAAATAATCTAAATTATCAATGTCAGCATCAAAAAATTAGATATTTCCCCAAATTTGCAGTCAGAGATCAAAAAACTCATGTTTTAGTATGGGGCATTAAGTACTGTTAAATAAATTTTAGGGCAGGGGTTCTAACAGTGCTATAACTTAGTATAATGACAATGATATGTATTTCACTAAAATAGACATACAATTGGTTATTTAAATAAATACACAATAATTTTTCTCAGTGATGAAGATTAAAAGAAATGAACAACCAACTGGGAAGCAAGAAAAAGGCAAAAAGATTTTAAAAAGAAGGAAGAGGATAATTAATTATCTGAATTTTCAAATCTGGCAGGGGAAAAAAAGAGAGAGAGAGACACTGGTACTAGAACCTCCTATAACATCACCAGTATCAAGTCAAATGAAATCTAGCACTGGCAGAACATGGCAGATAACACACATTACCAGGAAGATTAAGTAAGTAGGAAGGCCAAGGAAGATTTTCTGAGCTTTGAAATGAGACTCCTTGTGAATACTGGATCAGATACAGAAGTCAAATGCTTTTCATTTCAGTAAAACCATAACTGGTGATGCTGTAGGGATTATGATAAGCATGAAATATGTGTGCAAGAAGACGGTGTCTGTGTGTTTGTGTATGTGTGTGCACACACACGTGTGAATGTGTGGGCATAGTGATGATGCCAACAGAAGTGGCTAATCACATGAACAAGTTCATGATTAACAAACAGTAATATAAATTATGGGTCTGTTATTCATCCATCCTAAGTTCTCCTAAAATCTCCTATTTCTAAAATTATGAGGCTGTTTATATTTGACATCATGGCCTAACCTACACGCACATCACTAAGAAAGCAATCTGCTTTCACAAAGGTATGTACAAAATTTTCCAAAATCATTTTCAGTGCCTGTTATACTTTCTCTTGTCACAATAATTGTTTATTTAAACGAACTCTAGGGAATTTCCTGGTAGTCCAGTGGTTAGGACTCAGTGCTTTCACTGCCGGGGCCCAGGTTTGACCCTTGGTCAGGAAACTAAGATCCCACAAGCTGCACGGCACAGCCACAAAAAAATATCAAAATAAACGAACTCTATTTATAAGTAATGAAAAGTATTTTACTTCAAACTACCAAAGTATACGTTTACTATCTTTTTGCTCAGATGAAGCTGAAAATAATGAGATTAGAGAATGACTTTGGGGATACTTAAACTACTTTAGAACAAAAAATTGAAACTTCAGTAAACATATTCTAAATTACTACTACATTTCGGGGACAAGCTATTTAGGCGCTAATAACAGGAAAAGAAACTATGTGCATCTTCTACGTCTATGTGCCCAATGGTAATAATTGTAACTTTGTCTAAACATCACATTGCCACTGTTTAGTTTTTAAATTAAAAGGATTTTTTAATTCTCCTGTCACATTTTAAGTTACTCTGGATTTCATTTATATTAAGCCTGATAGCAACACAACTTGACTCTACCACAGTGAAATAATCTTTCATGATCAACTTACACTGCAGTTTTCAGGTGGAACCAGAAGCTGAGTAATCTCGCCACCATGGACACAGAAGATGTGTTTCATTTCTCCAGAAAAAATGTCCCAAATTATGACCGAAAAATCCACGCCTCCAGATATCAGATATCTTTGATCATAACGAGCTGAGACCTGATGCGGATACAACAAACATGTGACTTTGTTCCGATGACCACGGAGTGTCCTGTGAGGTGGCCAACCTGTGAACGAGGTTTTGGATTTAGCTATACATTTTATCATTGAAAACGCTTCTAGTTTTCTAGAACTGCTCTGTAGTTCTAGAAGTACAGTAGCTACATACCACATGAGACTACTGAACTCTTGCAGTGTGGCTAGAGTGGATTCGTATGTGCTACAAATGTAAAATATACATGAGATTTCAAAGACTTAGCACCGAAAAAATGTAAAATATCTCATTAGTAATTTTTATATTGATTACAAGTTGAAATGAAAATAGTTTTGCTGTACTAGGTTAAAGAAAATATATTATTAAAATTAATTTCTCCTGCTTCATTTTTACTTTTCTTAATGTGCCTATTAGAAAATCACCTATATTGTTACATATATAGTTCTACTGGACAGCATTGTTCTAAAAGATTACCAGTATTACTGATAATACGATAATTACTACTACACTATATAGGTACCCAATAATAAATGGAATTATTAACACATATCAAAGAGATAAAATTAGATACCTCTTTATTTACAGTCATTACATGGTGTTTATTCCAATAATAGACACTAAGTACAGTTGATCCTTGAACAACAGAGGTTTGAACTGCACAGGTCCACTTATATGCAGATTTTTTTCAATAAGTATTTACTATAGTACTACACAGGGGCAGCTGATTGAATCCAAGGATACAGAGGGCCAACTGTAAAGTAACATGCAGATTTTCAACTGTGCAGAGGGTCAGTGCCCCTAACCCCCTGAGTTGTTCAAGGGTCAACTGGAGTGTATTTTATTAACTGCACATTAAATTCTCCCAACTACATTGCACACTAACAACTACACGGATTCATTGTATTTGTTAAAAACAAAGAGTGTAGACATTGTCAAGTTCATGGTTACAGAGTTCTCAAAACACTTTAGACACTAGGAGATCTTCAGGATACCTCTGCGGAGCATGTGCTCCCCTTGCAGCAGTTGCACTATGGCTGTCTGCGTGGCAGGTACAATAACGATGCTTCCATCTTCACGGCCACAAACGAGTCGCCCGTGGGCTGGTATGTACACACTTGCGGTCACCTTCAGAGGTTCATTACTATTGGGAATGACACTCAGCTGATCTATAATTCCGGCAGGACAAGGATTCAGTTTATCAAATGCCTCTTGCAAACTAACAGAAGTTGTCATTTCCAGCTCTGTGGAGGTTTTGTTTAGTACAAAAGAAAAATATTTAAGTATTTTAGAAAAAACATTAAACATATAAAAATAAATGTGCTTACAGATGATTCAGTAATATACCAAAGAATAACTGTCATCAACTCTAATTCTAAGAAGAAAATGACATATGTACATTATGAATTTGCTACACAGTGGCCGGTATTTAGGTTGTTAAATTTAAAAAATTGAGAAATTACTGCAAGTGATTTGCTAGTACTTCCTGTACCTTCCTGTTTATCAGGTGTGTCTGATATGTTCCAAATATTCAATCTTCCAGAAGAATCACCCTGAATCAATAGTTTGTGGAAGTATTCCTTACATCCATAGAAGAACCGAGTAACAGGAGGACAAATTAGCAACTGTAAAAAAAAAAATTTGTTCAAATACCCTTAGCTATCTTTTTAAACAAAATATTCCACACATTAACATTTTTTCAGATTAGGGTGTTAAGTACTTTGCCTCGGTACCAGAGTAAAAAAAAAAAGTGCATCTATAGAATGAGTATTCAATAATATTTTAATTAATTTTGTAGCACTGAAACACATATCAACTAATACCCAAATCCAGTACATAGAACACAAATGAAAACTAAATTTATAGTCTTTCTCTAGAATTAATATTTTTATTCTTTTTCTCCGCTTTATAAAAACCACAATGCAATTATTTGTCTGCTATTAAGCAATTAATACAAAGATATACCCCTCGTTACCAAAAAGAAAATTCTCCACTTAAAAGGTCAAAAGGGGAGAACAGGATAATCTGAGTTTTCTGCCCATCCCTGATTAGTCTCCAAGAGTAGATGCAAAACTAAACTACCAAGCTTGTACAACTAGAGGACTCTTTTTTTTTTTTTGAGAATATTTTTCAACTAATGGCATGAAACTTGATGACATTTACATAATCCACTTGAACCTAGCCTGATATGTTTGCTATAAACTACTAGGAACAAAAACCATTCATTAGGGTGTTGTGCATACTTTCATTTTTAAAACAAATTATTTTTCTGCTTAAGATCCTGCGTCTTCAGTGAGACCACTTATTTGAAAATACTAAATAGTGGTGGACTCCTAAATTTAAAGTTTAGATTATTAATATACTAAAACTGGAGCATTAAAGCATAGAAGCTCATCCTAAAAAGCAGTAAAAAATAGACTTCAGGGGGCTTCTCTGGTGGCGCAGTGGTTGAGAGTCCGCCTGCCAATGCAGGGGACACGGGTTCGTGCCCCGATCCGGGAAGATCCCACATGCCGCGAAGCGGCTGGCCCTGTGAGCCATGGCCGTTGGGCCTGCGTGTCCGGAGCCTGTGCTCCGCAACGGGAGAGGCCAAAACAGTGAGAGGCCCGTGTACCGCAAAAAAAAAAAAAAAAAAATAGACTTCAGTGTTTAAACATATTGTTAACAAATAATCCGTATTCGGTATCAGTTGTTTCCTAAAAAGCATTATCCTATAGAAATTATATGCATTAAGCATAGTTAATTACTTGATTTAACTTAAAGCCTGAAAATTACTAAAAGTTTTAATTGATAAACAACATGCTTAACTAGAAAAAGTTGCTACAACAGCTGTAATAACCAGTATTTCATATTTCAATGTGTATCTAACACCACACAGTACATATATTTTAATTTAAAATGTATTGGGGAGCTGATACATAAAGAAACATGGCATGTATTTGTTTTGTTTCATGGTTTGTTTTTTTTTTTTTTTGGCTGGGCCAAGCAGCTTGCAAAATCTGAGTTCCCTGACCCGGGACTGAACCCAGGCCCCAGCAGTGAAAGTGCTGAGTCCAAACCACTGGACAACCAGGGAAATCCCATCATGTATGTTTTTTACATAAGTCATTATCTCTTGATTTAAATAGAAGTGACTATCTCGTTTGGAGAGCAGTAAGTAGGAGTTTAAGTTAAGAGACTAAAGGACAGGTCATAGAGGATCTTAATTGTACATGGATATATAAATCCTATATATTCAAAATATTCATGTAAAAAATAATTCCCTTCCCCTCGCCATCTCTCCACATAAAGATAGAACAAAATGTTCAGAATGAAAAAGCTGTGGAAACCTAGAACTTGAGTAAAGGAAACTTTATTTCCAAAACCAAAGCTTCTTTCTTAATGCTCAAAGAATAGAGAGTTGAAAACCGAGTACTAAGTGCATTTCAACTTTAAATTGATATTAAGTAGGTTCTTAGAAGTCATAATAAATTTGGTTTTTATAGGGGAAAAAATGTCTTTTTTCTTTATTTCTAATGCCTAATGATTTAAATCACTACATCGTTTTGGGGAGATACTGCAATACCTTGTTCAAATAATAATCAGTCAGCATTATTACATAATTATCTTTGTGCTTCTAAAATTACATCTCTCACTATGTTTATAACTGCATGAGTATAAAATCAATTTATACCATCAATATAAATTTTATCAAAAAGTCATTGCCACTTTGTAATCAGTATAAGACCATTTTTATTCCTGGAGAAAAGTGACTGCTACATTATAGGCATATTATAAGCAAATCTGAAAACTGTGCTTATAATAACTGACCATGTCAAAATGTTTTAGAGTATCTAACACACAGCCTTGAATTGTACTGAATCTTTCAAATGCTTAGCTACCAAAGACACCAATAAATATAGTTGTAAAAACTTTTCAACATAACTACCAATTATAAATGATACCTGAAGAATTTTACCTCTTTATCTGTTCGATCCAAGAGGCTATGTTGTACCGGAGGAACTAAATTTTCAACTGCTTTCCCCACATCACTGCGGAATGAATCACTAGCTGGAAGGCAACTGAAAATGAGAAAACTACAACATTCAGTAAAAATACTGACATTAAATATTTTATCATACCATATGATGACTTTTTTTGACAATGGACAAAATATGAATGTTTTATAGTTAATTTAGTATCGGCATGAAATTAAATAATTAATGTTACTAACATATCCTACTTCAAATAAAAACTCCACCTAATTTTTTGTGCTTAGAAGTTAAACCTCAATTACAAATCTAACTTAAGTTCTCAAGTTTTTTACCTAAATTAAATATTTATACTTTCTACATTTTCATACTTTCAGGTTATACCCCAACTTTGGAAACTTTTGCTTTCAATTAAAGTCCTAACATTATTTATTGAATACCTGGCAGGTAGTTTGTAAATATAACTTTGCCCATTTTCAGTCCAAATGATGACTTTATCTGCCGAGACAAAGTCACCTCCAGTCCACGTCTGTCCATTTTCACTCGGACCTGAGCACAACAGGGAGTAGTCCCCAGCATCAAATACCTACGAGGAATAAGAGATTCGCAATCGTTTTAAAAACCATAAAACAAAATAAAACAATTTAACCATGTAAAAACTGAAAACCTCTTTTTGGCAGTAACTGAGAAAGTCATGCTGGTGGGTTGCAATACCATCTACATGTTGTTTTCGTATGCATTTCCCTGACGATTAATGAAACTGAACACCTTTCTATACATTTACTGGTCACCTGGCTTTCTTTCCTCTCTTGTGAAATGTTTTTGTTCGTTTTCCTATTGGGTTGTCGGTGTTTTTCTTCTTGACCTGTAGAAGTTGTTTTTTATCAATAATAGACGAGTCCCTCATCATAGTGTACACCATAGCTATCTTCTCTCACTCTTTGGTTGTCTTTTTTTTTTTTTTTAATACATCTTTACTGGAGTATAATTGCTTCACAATACCATGTTAGTTTCTGTTGCACAACAAAGTGAATCAGCCATATACATACACATGTCCCCATATCCCCTCTCTCTTAAGCCTCCCTCCCTGTGCTATGCTGCTGCTTCCCACCAGCCAACTATTTTACATTCCGTAGTGTATATACGTCGATGCTATTCTCACTTCGCCCCAGCTTCACCCTCCCACCCCATGTCATCAAGTCCATTCTCTATGTCTACCTCTTTATTCCTGCCCTGCAACTAGGTTCATCAGTACCACTTTTTTTTTTTTAGATTCCATATATATGCATTAGCATATGGTATTTGTTTCTCTCTTTCTGACTTACTTCACTCTGTATGACAGACTCTAGGTCCATCCACCTCACTACAAATAACTCAATTTCATTTCTTTTTATGGCTGAGTAATATTCCATTGTATATATGTGCCACATCTTCTTTATCCATTCATCTGATGATGGACACTTAGGTTGCTTCCATCTCCTGGCTATTGTAAATAGAGCTGCAATGAACATTGTGGTACATGACTCTTTTTGAATTATGGTTTTCTCAGGGTATATGCCCAGCAGTGGGATTGCTGGGTCATATGGTAGTTCTATTTTTAGTTTTATTAAGGAACCTCCATACTGTTTTCCACAGTGGTTGTATCAATTTATATTCCCACCAACAGTGCAGGAGGGTTCCGTTTTCAACACACCCTTTCCAGTATTTATTGTTTCTAGCTTTTTTGATAATGGCCATTCTGATCAGTGTGAGGTGATACCTCATTGTAGTTTTGATTTGCATTTTTCTAATAATTAGTGATGTTGAGCATCTTTTCATGTGCCTCTTGGCCATCTGTATGCCTTCCTTGTGAAATGTCTATTTAGGTCTTCTGCCCATTTTTTAACTGGATTGTTTGTTTTTTTGATATTGAGCTCCATGAGCTGTTTGTATATTTTGGAGATTAATCCTTTGTCTGTTGTTTCATTTGCAAATATTTTCTCCCATTCTAAGGGTTGTCTCTTTGTCTTGTTAATGGTTTCTTTTGCTGTGCAAAAACTTTTAAGTTTAATTAAGTCCCATTTTTTAATATTTGTTTTTATTTCCGTTACTCTAGCAGGTGGGTCAAAAAAGATTTTGCTGTGGTTTATGTCAAAGAGTGTTTTTCCTATGTTTTCCTCTAAGAGTTTTATAGTATCTGGTCTTACATTTAAGTCTTTAATCCATTTGGAGTTTATTTTTGTGTATGGTGTTAGGTAGTGTTCTAATTTCATTCTTTTACATGTAGTTGTCCAGTTTTCCTAGCACCACTTATTGAAGCACTGTCTTTTCTCCATCGTATGTTCTTGCCTCCTTTGTCGTAAATTAGGTGCCCATATGTGCGTGGGTTTATCTCTGGGCATTCTATCCTGTACCATTCATCTAGTCTTTTCACTCTTGTGTGTGCACTTAAGGGAAGGCTGATCTCACATGATTATAAAATGCTGACAATGGGCACACAAGAAACTGGTATTAGCTACTGCCTCTGGGGAGGGGAAGGGAAGTGCCCTGGGGGAAAAGGGTGTATATGTTTCACTGTATCCTCTTGCACTTTGTTTTATTTCTATTTGGATGTGTTTTAAGTTTTAAGACAAAGGAAGGATCCCATATGGCCTACTACAACTAAGCAGCTGCTAGCTTTTCTTCTCTAATCTTATTCCCAAACAACAATCATATGGTAAGGCTGTCCACTCTGAGACAGGATAGCGCAGTAGTAATGAGAGCAGCTGCTGCAGTCAGGCTGCCTGAGTTGTATAACCTTAGTCACTTGTACAACCACCACCACTTGTATAACCTTAGCCAAGTTATTTATCCCCTCTACGCCTCAGTTGCCTCATCTGCGAAATGGGCAAAGCCACAATCCCTGCCGTGGCAGGCGGCCTCTAAAATGGCCCCACCGATCCCTGACTCCTGGTAGTATTAGGATCCTCAGGTAATCCTCTCCCTTGAGTACAGGCGGCATTTTGTGACGGTTTCTAGAGAACTGAATGTGGCAGAGGTAATGGGATCTCAGCTCTAAGATTAGGTGGGTCTTGGCTACACCTTCTCTTGCTCACTTTTTTTTTTTTTTTGCCACGCTGTACAGCATGTGTGGCATCTTAGTTCCCCGGCCACGGATTGAACCTGTGCCCCCTGAATTGGGAGCATGAAGTCTTAACCACAGGACCACGAAGGAAGTCCCTCTGACTCACTTATTCTGAGGAAGGGCAGCTCCTGTGTTGTGAGCTGTCCTAATGGAGAGGCCCACATGGCAAAGAACTAAGGTCTCAGCCAACAGTCAGTAGGACCTGAGGCCTGTCAACCACCAGGTAGGTTTGGAAGCAGGACCCTTTCCTAGGTGAGCCGTGGGATGAGGTAGTCATCCCGGTCGAAACCTTCAACACAGTCTGCGAGAGACCCTGGGCCAGAGGTACCCAGCCAAGCCATGCCCAGATTCCTGACCCACAGAAACCCAAATTCCTGACCAAAAACAGATGATTCATATTTGTTGTTTTAAGTGACTAACTTTTGAAGTAATTTGTTACGCAGGATTAGATAACTAATATATCACCCCTTGGAGAGTTTTTTCCAAATAATACATGGAAAGCTTTGAAAAGTATGCTAGGCACAGAGCAGAGCAAGTGATCAATACTTGACGGCTCTTTTCCTATTATGGAAATATTAAAGTCTGGCAATGTGAAAGTAATATATACCTTCCATCATTAGCTCTTTAGTGACAGAAGAAGACCTTGCCAACTCCAAAATGTCAAAAAAGAATGGCAATTGGGATAGTAACAACCTACAAAGATACAGCCAATGTGCAGAAAACTCACCACCATTGCCCATGCTGTACTGGCAAGACAATGAAAAATATGGTAGCAAAAGGCAGAAATTAAAATCAATAGAACTAACAACCATTAACTGAATCATTCTATGAACCAAAACAAAAAAGACAACTACATACAGCCAAATTCCATACCTCAAAATATGATATCAAAATCAGACCAAATGTTTCAAACATTCTAACACCAAGCTCCGCCTTACAATTTTCTTCGGAAGTCTGATAAACCAATATCACGAACGGCAAAAATATAATTTCTTACTTATGCAGTTATCTTACCCTCCAATACTTGGAGCACACAACCAGAAGCGACCTCTGTGTGAATGCACAAAAAGAGATGCTTTGGCAATTCTGACAATAAATTGGTTTGGACTCCTCTTCAAATATTGGCTCAGTATCCTGAAAAGAGAAAGATCTGTAAAACTTTAGGATTGGCTGGGTCGTCAGCTAAAATTATCACACAATGATAAAGAAAACAAAATGAAATAAAGGCATCTCTTGATATGTTCATCAATTTAGCCCCTCACGTGAGAACCAAGGTAGTAAAAAGCAGCAAAGATATACTCTAAAATCATCTGGGTACAACATCTTTGCTACAAAGCTACTTAAGATTAAAATACTAATGTGAGTCAGAGTGTCATCACTGGCAATGACAGATGATAAAAATTTGAGTCAATCCTAACTTTTATAGTTACATGTGCTTATAGGTTAAAAAAAACTCATCAATTCCTGCACTTTCTCCCAGATTCAATGTCTAAAATTTCCCTAACTGAAGATATTACTATCTATATTGCCAGAAAATTGATCTGCCTTTCTTACTGCTAAAAAGTAACAAGGAATTCAAGTCCAAAGAACTCAGAGGACTAAAACCTGCTTTATATCTTCTTTGCGGTCGTTTGCTTTTTTTTTTTCCCCCCTCAAGCAAACTACCTTTTAACTTCAAATTTAAACAGAAGCAGTTGAGGAAAATCCTCTTCTGTGTTTTTTACTTCAGATCCTGCACTGCATGTTTCTCTGCTTTGCATCCTTGATAAGGCAGATATCTACCCTCAAAAGGGAAAAAAAAAATTCATGTACAGAGAGAGCATACTAGGGGACTCTTCTATACTATGTCAATAAGACTATTGAAAAGAATAGCTTTTTCCTTCCTCTTTAAGTAAAAAAGAGAAGGGGCCTAAAATGTAAGACTCCATAAGAACAGAAGCAGAGAACTGACTTCCAGCCTCATTCGTCTCACCTGCAGGCCACTAATTTCCGAGGTAACAATCCACACCTTCAAGATGCCCGTCACTGAGAGCGCCACCACAGTGTCCTCTACACCAAGAAGGAAGAAACAGCCAGTTACAAGCACAACATGTTTTCTTTTTAAACAATAATATGGTTACACCAGTGACATGGACCATGGTTTGCTTTTTTTGTTGTTTTGTTTTCTTCCATCACCCTCCCTATCCCACTCCACCCCTCTAGGTGGTCACAAAGCACCGAGCTGATCTCCCTGTGCTATGCAGCTGCTTCCCCCTAGTTTTCTCAGGGTATATGCCCAGCAGTGGGATTGCTGGGTCATATGGTAGTTCTATTTTTAGTTTTTTAAGGAGCCTCCATACTGTTCTCCACAGTGGCTATTATCAATTTACATTCCCACCAACAGTACAAGAGGGTTCCCTTTTCTCCATCCTCTCCAGCATTTATTGTTTGCAGATTTTTTGAAGATGGCCATTCTGAGCAGTGTGAGATGATAACTCATTGTAGTTTTGATTTGCATTTCTCTAATGATTAGTGATGTTGAGCATTCTTTCATGTGTTTGTTAGCAATCTGTGTATCTTCTTTGGAGAAATGCCTATTTAGGTCTTCTGCCCATTTTTGGATTGGGTTGTTTGTTTTTCTGATATTGAGCTGCATGAATTGCTTGTATGTTTCGGAGATTAATCCTTTGTCCGTTGCTTCATTTGCAAATATTTTCTCCCATTCTGAGGGTTGTCTTTTCGTCTTCTTTATGGTTTCCTTTGCTGTGCAAAAGCTTTTAAGTTTCATTAGGTCCCATTTGTTTATTTTTGTTTTTAGTTCCATTTCTCTAGGAGGTGGATCAAAAAGGATCTTGCTGTGATTTATGTCATAGAGTGTTCTGCCTATGTTTTCCTCTAAGAGTTTGATGGTGTCTGGCCTTACATTTAGGTCTTTAATCCATTTGGAGTTTATTTTTGTGTATGGCATTAGGCAGTGTTCTAATTTCATGCTTTTACATGCAGCTTTCGAGTTTTCCCAGAACCACTTATTGAAGAGGCTGTCTTTTCTCCACTGTATATTCTTGCCTCCTTAATCAAAGGTAAGGTGACCATGTGTGCATGGGTTTATCTCTGGGCTTTCTATCCTGTTCCATTGATCTATACATCTATTTCTGTGCCAGTACCATACTGTCTTGATTACTGTATCTTTGTAGTATAGTCTAAAATCAGGGAGCCTGATTCCTCCAGCTCTGTTTTTCTCTCTCAAGATAGCTTTGGCTATTCGAGGTCTTTTGTGTTTCCATACAAATTGAGAAAATTTTTCTTGTAGTTCTGTGAAAAATGCCAGCGGTAGTTTGATAGGAATTGCATTGAATTTGTAGATTGCTTTGGGTAGTAGAGTCATTTTCACAATGTTGATTTCTCCAATCCAAGAACATGGTATATCTCTCCATCTATTTGTATCATCTTTAATTTCTTGCATCAGTGTCTTATAATTTTCTGCATACAGGTCTTTTGTCTCCTTAGGTAGGTTTATTCCTAGATATTTTATTCTTTTCGTTGCAATGGTAAATGGGAGTGTTTCCTTAATTTCACTTTCAGATTTTTCATTAGTGTATAGGTATGCCAGAGAATTCTGTGCATTAATTTTGTATCCTGCTACTTTACCAAATTCATTGATTAGCTCTAGTAGTTTTCTGGTAGCATCTTTAGGATTCTCTATGTAGAGTATCACGTCATGTGCAAACAGTGAAAGCTTTACTTCTTCTTTTCCAATTTGGATTCCTTTTATTTCTTTTTCTTCTCTGAGTGCTGTGGCTGAAACTTCCAAAACTATGTTTAATAATAGTGGTGAGAGTGGGCAACCTTGTCTTGTTCCTGATCTTAGTGGAAATGCTTTCAGTTTTTCACCATTGAGGACGATGTTGGCTGTGGGTTTGTCATATATGGCCTTTATCGTGTTTAGGAAAGTTCCCTCTATGCCTACTTTCTGCAGGGTTTTTATCATAAATGGGTGTTGAATTTTGTCGAAAGTTGTCTCTGCATGTATTGAGATGATCATATGGTTTTTCTCCTTTAATTTGTTAAAATGGTGTATCACGTTGACTGATTTGCATATATTGAAGAAGCCTTGCATTCCTGAGATAAACCCCACTTAATCATAGTGTATGATTCTCTTAATGTGCTCTTGGATTCTGTTTGCTAGTACTTTGTTGAGGATTTTTGCATCTATGTTCAGCAGTGATATTGGCCAGTAGTTTTCTTTCTTTGTGACATCTTTTTCTGGTTTTGGTATCAGAGTGATGGTGGCCTCGTAGAATGAGTTTGGGAGTGTTCCTCCCCCTGCTATATTTTGGAAGAGTTTGAGAAGGATAAGTGTTAGCTCTTCTCTAAATGTTTGATAGAATTCGCCTGTGAAGCCATCTGGTCCTGGGCTTTTGTTTGTTGGAAGATTATTAATCACACGTTCAATTTCAGTGCTTGTGATTGGTCTATTCATATTTTCTATTTCTTCCTGGTTCAGTCTCGGAAGGTTTTGCATTTCTAAGAATTTGTCCATTTGTTCCAAGTTGTCCATTTTATTGGCATATAGTTGCTTATAGTGCTTATAGTGATCTCTATAGTGCTTATAGTGATCTCTCATGATATTTTGTATTTCTGCAGTGTCAGTTGTTACTTCTCCTTTTTCATTTCTAATTCTATTGATTTGAGTCTTCTCCATTTTTTTCTTGATAAGTCTGGTTAATGGTTTACCAATTTTGTTTATCTTCTCAAAGAACCAGCTTTTAGTTTTATTGATCTTTGCTATCATTTCCTTCATTTCTTTTTCATTTATCTCTGATCTCATCTTTATGATTTCTTTCCTTCTGCTAACTTTGGGTTTTTTTTTTTCTTCTTTCTCTAATTGCTTTAGGTGTAAGGTTAGGTTGTTTATTTGAGATGTTTCTTGTTTCTTAAGGTTGGATTGTATTGCTATAAAGTTCCCTCTTAGAACTGCTTTTGCTGCATCCCATAGGTTGTTGTGCTTTCACTGTCATTTGTTTCTAGGTTTTTTTGATTTCCTCTTTGATTTCTTCAGTGATCTCTTGCTCATTAAGTAGTGTGTTGTTTAGCCTCCATGTGTTTGTATTTCTTACAGAGTTTTTCCTGTAATTGATATCTAGTCTCATAGCATTGTGGTCAGGAAAGATACTTGATACGATTTCAATTTTCTTAAATTTACCAAGGCTTGATCTGTGACCCAAGATATAATCTATCCTGGAGAATGTTCCACGAGCACTTGAGAAGAATGTGTATTTTGTTGTTTTTGGATGGAATGTCCTATAAATATTAATTAAGTCCATCTTGTTTAATGTATCATTTAAAGCTTGTGGTTCCTTATTTATTTTCATTTTGAATGATCTGTCCATTGGTGAAACTGGGGTGTTAAAGTCCCCTACTATGATTGCGTTACTGTCGATTTCCCCTTTTATGGCTGTTAGCATTTGCCTTATGTATTGAGGTGCTCCTACGGTGGGTGCATAAATATTTACAATTGCTACATCTGCTTCTTGGATGGATCCCTTGATCATTATGTAGTGTCCTTCTTTGTCTCTTGTAATAGTCTTTGTTTTAAAGTCTATTTTGTTTGATACAGGAATTGCTACTCCAGGTTTCTTTTGATTTCCATTTGCATGGAGTATCTTTTTCCATCCCCTCACTTTCAGTCTGTATGTGTCCCTAGGTTTGAAGTGGATCTCTTGTAGACAGCATATATACGGGTCTTGTTTTTGTATCCATTCAGCCAATCTATGTCTTTTGGTGGGAGCATTTAATCCATTTACATTTAAGGTAATTATCAATATGTATGCTCCTATTACCATTTTCTTAATTGTTTTGGGTTTATTATTGTAGGTCTTTTCCTTCTCTTGTGTTTCCTGCCTAGAGAAGTTCCTTTAGCATTTGTTGTAAAGCTGGTTTGGTGGGGCTGAATTCTCTTAGCTTTTGCTTGTCTGTAAAGGTTTTAATTTCTCTGTCAAATCTGAATGAGATCCTTGCTGGGTAGAGTAATCCTGGTTGTAGTTTCTTCTCCTTCAACACTTTAAATATGTCCTGCCACTCCCTTCTGGCTTGCAGAGTTTCTGCTGAAAGATCAGCTGTTAACCTTATGGGGATTCCCTTGTGTGGTTTGCTTTAATGAAATTAAATAATAGCATGTTTTACAATTAGCATGAAAACCTAATTCTATATTTTATGAAATAATGGAGAACTGATTTCAAAACAGGTTAATGAAGATGATCAAAAATTTGGAGTTCAAGGAAAAGTTTTTTTTAGCTGCTTCATTTATTTCTAACTTACAAGTTTTAATAATTTCAAGTGTTCTTGATTACTATGCTAAAAAATTACTTTTAAAAAAAATTTAAGAATTTAAAAAACTAAAAATCAAACACACAACTTTCATTCTTCAAAGTTCACTTTTATTTATTCGTCATGGGGGAGCACAGTCACTTTCTTTCTTCAGGGCACACATTTCCCCTTTCCCCACCTCCCTTACCTGCCATTTTATTGCACACCACACCCTCCATAGGCCATGATCAAGATAAAGACATGACACAAAACCCAAATTCATCAGCTTCGGGTGAGGGAGCAGTCACAGCACGACAGTAATATTCGTGAACTCCGAGAGGAGGGGCATTAGATAGCAGTCTAATGCAGGCTCCAGAGTGAGGGAGTATGCGTTAAAATCACATTTTCTTCACTAATTAACCAACAAACTGTGCATAACTTAACTAACCTATCCTAAATTGAATTTGCTTATCTGTAAGCAAATGTAAATGAATAAAGTAATGACAGTACCTACGTTAATGGTCTGTTATGAGAATTAAGACACACCACAGGTACAGCCCTCAACACATCAATAAAAATAAGTTATTACTGTTATTTAAAAAAGTGTTTGCTACATTTCAGTATAAACTTTATTTGTACTGCCTGGCTCCATAGGCAAGGTAAAGCACTGAAATGCACTGATTACAATTCCACAATCTCTGCACAAAGAAGCTAGAACAACTACTCACAAGTCTGTCAATTACTGTAAAAGTGCAACATACCAATATATCTAAAATTCTCAAATATCTACACACTAGAATAGGGTAAAGCAGATTAAAAATTGTGTATGTTAGCAACATTATAAACTGATAACACTTAGAAATGCATGCACAGCACAAAATTTTCCATTAAAGTTACATTCTATCCTATTCAGACCAGTGTGTACATGTATATTTCACATGTGGATATTTCCCACACACACCTAGGTAATGCTTTTTGTACCTATGTACAAACTATTTTTAGAGACTTCATCTAATCTGGGCAGCCTTCCTACTTGCCCTCAAAGCCCCTTCACTGCCTTCACTAATTCTAGCCTCTGTGCTATTTCTCTATCTCATCACATTTCACACCCTGAACTGCCACTTGTTTATATATCATCCTCCCTTACTAGAATTTGAGTCCCTTCAGTAGTTCAGTCCTTCGTGCCTAGAAGACAGTAGGCACTCAATAAATATCTGCTGAATGGCTGTTGAATAAAAAGCTATGTGCTGATTTCCAACCATAAGAGATAATAAAGGAAATCTCCCATGAAACTGAAGGCAGTTCACCAATGGAGGTGGTGTAACACAGTGGGAAAGTAACTGCTCTGGGGTCCATCTGGGCACCAGTAAGCCACAGACTTGCTCTGTGATCTTAAGTAAAGACTCCAGCATGCTACACTTCACCCATCTCCGCATCCACACATCCTAAGACAACTGTACCTATCCCACTGGGTGCTGTGAGAACTGTTACCACATGTAAACGCTCAGCATGCGCCCGATACTGTGAGCACTCAGTAAATGAAGTCTCACGGCGGTGGCAGTGGTGCTAATTACAGGTCAGCACACAACTATGAGGCATTTGGGAGGGAAAAAAATGCTCCAAAAGAGACATATAGGAATATACATGTTCAGTATTAATTACTGTTCTTGTCCTGAACAATTTTACTTTCGTTCTCACAATTGTTACTGAAAGGTTTCAACGGAAATGAAGAAAACATACTTGTATTTGTTTGAGCATCAACTACACACCAAGCACTTACCAGGACCTTTTATTAAATTTAATTGTGTGTAATCCCTTCCATTTTCATCATCTCCACAAAAAATGGAAACACTTCCTATGCCTCTTCAGCAAGTGACAAAACCGGGCCCAAGAAATACACAGATAAACTACAGTTCCTCCCACCATACCTCCAAGGGGTTAAGACATTCTTCTTCCACTTCAGAAAATCACTGACACACTCTAAGACAGCCATAAACTAGTGATCTATTCCATGGAATGGAGATAATGTAACACTTTAAATCTTAATTCAATCAAAGACTCCTTTATGAAAGTAGAGACAGACCATAAATCATGAGAGAAGTCATTTCTTAAACCTAAGAATATAATATAACAAAGTATATTAACATGTGACACATCATACAACTCTACAGTAAACTAACCATTCAGTCATAGTGTAGAAACTCCTAAAGGGCACACTGACCTTGTGTTCGATGGGATCGAATAATACTCATGGAGCTAATCCAATCTGGAGAGATCTTTGATACTAAGGAGTACAACACCTCAAGGCTGGTGGCATCCACCACGAGGATTTCAGGATAATGGCCATGGCACAGAAGCCTTCCTTCTCTCTGATTTCCAACAGAGAACTGGTAGAACTAAAAGGAAGAAGATTTTTAAATGTTCTTTACTTGAGATACTTGATTCACATGGATTCACCAAGCTTATTATGATGCTCAATTTCTCCAGTAATATTTCCAGACATGTACTATATGGTATATATTACATGCATCTACATATACACATGTCTACACATGTGCAGACATCAAATTACATTAATATTTCAAAATATCTAACAAAATTATTTTCTTCCTAATATCTTATCTTCCTTTTTGAACTATTTTGGAGCAGAATTCATGATAATTCTTTTTTGTCCTCCTGCAGCATCTAAAACAGAGTTGTTGAATGAATTAATAAAACACCTGAATAAAATCAGCTTCACAAATCAAAGCAAAAGTGTAGCCCACGTGGGTCACAAAAATAATATGAGTTCGAGATGAATGAGAATCAGTGAGTATAGGTTTATAATTACTAGTTATAACCAAATAAAATTTAGAAGCAAGGATGATTCTGTTCAAATATTCTCAGAAGTAAATTCTGAGTAATCTAAGTGTGTTATTTTAGATTAGAGTGTGAAACAACCATTATAAACCATTCTCATAGTGCACATTTATACTTTGTGGAAGAAATATAGAGGAAGAACCAGTACAATGGTGTTACTCATGCCAAGAATAAAAGGATAAGATGAGCTTCCATCAAGCAAAGAGCAGAGAAAGAATGACTCTAAGACCAACAACTTATCAAAGGTTCTGAATTCCCTTAGCCTCAAAAAAAAAAAAAAAAACAAAACGTGACTCTCTTACTGGAATGATTCTCCTAGAGGATTTTTAGAAAGCAGACTACTACTTTCCAAGGGATTGGACCTTATATAAATCACATGAGGGCAAGCTAAACACCGCACAAGGGGCAATGCTGTAACCACTCCACAACTGGGGAGATAAGTAAGAAACCCAGGTCCAGTCTGCTCCCACACTCATCCACCCACTGCTCAGAGCTCAACGTTGCATGTGAAGGAAGACAATCTTTTCTTAACTATGAAGTCCCCTGCACAAGGAGCACAACTTCTTAAACATGAGCACTGAGCACGGAGCACATTAACTAAGTGCAAGGTAGCACCACTAAACCCCAGAGAGGGGTCTAATAAAATGTAGACTATCATGGGGGGGGGAACCTCTAGATCTCAGGTTGATCCATAACACACGATCTGGGCTCCCAGGAATTGCCAGGCTCTCGCATGCATATAATAATGCGACCATAGGTAGCCTTGACCCACAGGAGGGGCGGATGTGTGAAGGAGAAAGGGACGGGTGCACGTAAGCAAACTTTGTCAGCGCTCACTCAGCACCAGCCAGGAAAGCCACGTGCACTGCAGTCACTAGAGAAGAGCTCTGTCCTGAGGGCAGGGATATTTTATTAGATATGCCTGACTAAATGCCTCTCACTTTTGCTTGAAAGTTATATTCTCAAACCATCTTCCAGACGCTGATTTAGCTTCCAAGACACTTTGATACGGGCAAGAAAGGTGCCCCTAATGGAGAAACAGGTTTTCCAAATATTAAAAAGGGACGCCCCCACGTGATAATTTAATAAGCTAGCACTTCCTTATGATTTCAGTAAGTGCCAATGCCATCAAGGTTCATCATTTCTACATATATAAGAACAACCTGGGGACTTCCCTGGTGGCACAGTGGTTAAGAATCTGCCTGCCAATGCAGGGGACACAGGTTCAAGTCCTGGTCCAGGAACATCCCACATGCCACGGAGCAGCTAAGCCAGTGCGCCACAACTACTGAGCCTGCGCTCTAGAGCCCACGAGCCACAGCTACTGAGCCCACGCGCCTAGAGCCTGTGCTCTGCAACAAGAGAAGCCACTGCCATGAGAAGCCCGCGCACTGGAACGAAGAGTAGCCCCCGCTCGCCGCAACTAGAGAAAACCCGCGCGCAGCAATGAAGACCCAACGCAGCCAAAAAGAAATAAATAAATAAACAAATTTTTTTTTAAAAAAACCTGCTTCTGAACCTGAGAGGGTGAGGATCACCCAGGAAACACCTGTCACACACATTAGTAAATGCCAGAAAGCATCTTCTACTTAGAGATGGCTGCCCATCTAAATACAGAAGGCCTAATACAGGATCCGATAAACAGCAGGCACTGAAAATATATTGAATAAAGATAATTTTTCCTAAAATATAAACCAGAAGTGTTTAAATCATAAAATTATACAACAGTTAAAATACTTATATCCAATGAGTTTGATACTTATAATTTTCCAATTAAATTATTTATAAAGTCAATGAATCTAAATGATTTTATTATCCCTTTTCTCTTTATAAATCTTGATGATTCTTCATATGATAAAAAATAAATACTACAGGCCCTTTAAATAAAAAGTATATGCTGTAACAGCATTGAAGAAGCAATTTTTAAAAGGACTTTGCCAGGGTAATAAGTAGTCACTAAAGATTTATATCACACTAACCATCTGTGAAAATTTTCCTTTGCTTGTCTAACTTGTGTTAGCACAGAAGGTTTTCTTTCTCAACAAATGATTTTACTTGTTTTAAGGGAGGCAGTATGATATAACAGAAAGAACACAGTCCCTAGAGTCAGATAAAGCTGATTTGGGATCCTAGTGCCAGGAATGACTCACTGTGAGACTGGGGCAAGTCATTTAATCACTCCGGCTATCAGCTTCCTTATACATAAAAGGATATACTCCTACCTAATTTGTAAGGATGTGGGGAGGCCTAAATGAGAAAGCATACAAGAAACACCTATATGATATTTGCTATAAATGTGAGTTCTCTTCTCTTCCCTCTTCTTCCCCATTGAGAACATAAATCACATTTTTCTATATACATTGTAATTTCCCAACACTCAACACTGTAAATGATGAGTAATTTGAAGCACAAAGAATTTGACAGTTATGAAAGAATAAGGAAGAATACCAGGAATGTAAGTGAGAAGCTATAAATTCCTGTGCAAATTCCTGTGTCAGCCAGGCATATGAAATGGTCCTTTCTTTTACAGAGTTGTGAAGTCAAAACACGAACTCAAGAACCAACTGCACAAGCAAGGAAAAGGGTATCATCCCCAAAATGGACTGTGTCAATCATGAGTGGAATCACCAAGGCTTTAGCAAGAGAGAATTCCATTATTTAGGATCTAGAACACTTACCCAACCAGTAAAAGGTCTCTCACCTGGGTAACCAGGATAGAGAGAGCAGAAGTAGCAGTGACAATGGCTTACCTTACATCTTTCAACATTCGTCTCCTCATCTTTGTTTTCCTCCCCCACTACACTGTCTTATGAAAAATACTTTTACTACTCTAATTCTAGTCTTCCTGTCCTATTACCCATCCCCACCCACTTCTCATATAAAAATACAGACTCAATGTTTAAAAACCATTTTTTCAATTGTACGCCTATAATAAATTGTGCTGACTTGGCCAGTTACAGAAGTTGATACTAACCTGTATGCCAGTGTGTGTGCAAGCTAATTTTGTAAATTCAATACATCTGCCGTCATTCACGTCCCAGAGGCACATCTCTCTATAAAATAAGATAACAGCTGACTTTAAATCTGAGTTTTGGAAGCACTGTTCAACTTTGTCACAGTGGTTTAAAATTAATCTTCCATTAAAACTGACATATTTCTGAAAAAGTATTGATAGTATATAGTCATTATTGCTGTTCATCAAAAATTCTGGTCCTCCCACCCACCGTCCTAAACTCCCCTCCAACTTAACCACCCCCACCTTGATCCACATTCTTTCTGGGCACCTGGGAGGACTGCACCTCCTGGCTCCCTTTTAGTTGGTGGAGTCTTCTGAGTAGTTCTGACCAGAACTGATATGAGACCCTCCAGAACTCTCCTCCTCTGCCTCTATACCAGATAGCGGCGGCTCCTTCACCCTCAGCCTCAAAGTAAGGAGAATTATGAAGCAGAGCACAGCCCTAAGTGATATATGAAGGGCAAGTGGCAAAAACTAGAAATAAACTTTTAGTTTAAACCACAGCAATTTTCCATCGGTTATCAACCTACTAGAAAACTTAGCACTGCAAAAAGCAAAACTTAAGGTCAACTGAATTCCAAATCTTTGCAAATTAAATATAATATTCCAGTTTTAATTTCATATTTATTGCAGAAGTTTTATTGCATGCATACCAAAAGAAAAAAGCTTTATCTCACACTAAAGATACAACATTTGAAATTAGAAATGTCAATATGCCTTGTATTTTAAAGAAATAAATTTAAGATTTATTTAACAGAAGACAACATTAATAAAATGTAATGATCCTGATATTAGGGTACTCTTTAAGATGTCTTTTCCTATATCTCATATGGTATAAATTTTTCAAAGGAAATTCACCCATTTAGAATATTCACTCTAATATGAATTATCCTTTAATCGGCCAAAAGGTACTATATTTTCACCTGCTGCTGCCTTTCAGTTATACAAGGTTCTTTTTAAATTCATAAATTATGAGGAGTAGAAGGGACAAGTTCTTAAATAATTCTCTTCCAGTTCCCCAACTCCCTTCAATAACATATTGTGTAAATATACAATTTTCTAAACACTCTAAAAGTTTTTTCTTTTAATTCCCCACACTCTGGACCCTACAAATACTGTTCAATGACTTACGTCTCTAAAAGCAAGCTCTATTCTGAGTCTTAGGAATACATGTAGCCATATTAGTGCATTAACGTACATCAATATAACTGTTTAAACTTTTGCGTGGCTTCGTCTTCCAAATTTATGCTAGCCTAGCATCACTGAGGTTTTTTAAAACTCTCAGAGTTGTCGGCCAATTCAGCAAAAATGCCTTGGGGATTAATGATCATTCTTTAAATTTTATGGTATTCTGAGTTTCTCAAAAGCAAGGCAAAAACATAATCATAAATTACAATAAAATACAAAGTATTATAAAAATCATTAATAAAGATAAAATTCATTTTGAAAACCATATTTCAAATATCTTTATGTTGAAACAACTGAGGCATTTATTTAAAAGACACCCCAAAAGAAAAACAAAAATTCCTACTTACTAGTACAGTGGTACTATTTGCAGTACAGACTTATGAGGAGAAAAGTGAATAGGAAAATACTTACCCACTCTCGGATGCGCTCACAATATACTGTTTGTCACTAGAAGCACAAGCTTTAGATAAACAGGTGATTGAAGCTGTGTGACCAAACAACAGTGCTCGAGGATTAACCTAGAAATACACAAATATGTTGATATTAGTACCAAATTTTTTAAGTAATCATTTTTAGGAATCCTGTTAAATATTCAGTACAATATACAGATACAGATTTGAGAAGAACTGCTCAGAACATCAAAAACTAAGAGCTGCAAAACACCGACGCCCACCAATTTAATACGCACAATCATCCCACCACGCAGTTCTAAAGTCAAAAGTGGAAAACCAAGAGGTGATATTACTTGCCCAATATCACGCAGAGAATGATGGAACCAGGATTTAAAGCAGGGCAGCGTTTAGCACTAAGCTCCAATACACTGCGAAATCAGGTTAAGAATGTGTATTAGTATATAAAATAATTTAACCTCACCTATTTTTAAAATAATACTTTGCATGATTTGAAAGTACATTTAGAGTCTCTAGACTGACATCCCCAAACACAAAAAATAGAGAATAGGTACCCTACCAAAAGCTGATATCAATGTTGACTATCAGGAACCAGACTGACCTTCACAGACTAATGATTTAGTGCCATAGTGCCTTATGAAAGGACGGCTTAATACCCACTATTCTAAAATAGTCTAGCAATCAGCCCCCAAATTCATCTACTCTGTACCAAACTGCATGCTATCATTTCAGGTTACTTCAAGGCCTTAAGTAATTTCAGGATATCTTTCTTAAACATTTAATACATACAAATAATATTTGTAACACATGTACAAGACATAAAAAAAAATACATAACCACATACTCAATACCCAGTTTAAAAAAACGGAATATGATTAATACCTTTAAAGCCCCTTTCATGATATCCATTTTGCAAAGAATCAAAATCACTTTAGCCTTATTTTGCATAATTATAATTAAAAGAAAAATACAATCCTTGTTTATGGTTAGAACAGGCCTAGAATGTTTTCTCATACATCCAAAATTTTCTCATACATCCAACCCCATTTCTATACAGAGACTCTGTGTTCCTCCACTGGAAAAAAAAAAAAAATGCTCTTGGTCAATTCTTTAATTTCTCCCAAGAAAATCAAATTTACCAATTGTTAGTTTTATTTTCAACGTACATGGCTTTGCTAGAAAATCCCATTTTCAGTCATAATAGAGTAACTAGAACTGACTGTACTCCCACCAAAATCTAGAAAAATGAACAAAAATAATTGAATGAAGTATAAAAATCACATAATCATCTCCATAGAGGCAATAAAAGCATTTGACAAAACTCAGTATCTTTTCATGATTAAAAACTCTCAACAAATTGGGTATAGAAGGAATGTACCCCAACATAATAAAGGCCATATACAACAAGCCCACAGATAACATCATATTCAACAGTAAAAAGCTAACAGCCTTTTCTCTAAGATCAAGAACAAGACAAAGATAGCTACTCTTGACATTTCTAATCAACATAATACTGGAAGTCTTAGCCAGAGCAATTGGGCAAAAAACTAAACAAACAAAGCATCCAAATTGAAAAGGAAGAAGTAAAATTGTCTCTGTTGTAGGTGACATGATCTTATATGTAGAAAATCCTAAAGACTCCAACCAAAGGACTGTTAGAACTAACGAACAAATTCAGAAAAGTTGCATGATACAAAATAAACATACAAAAATCAGTTGTTTCTATAACAACAAGGTATCTGACAGAGAAATTAAGAAAGCAATCCCACTTACAATAGCATCAAAAAGAATAAATTACTTAGAAATAAATTTAACCAAGGAGGTGAAACACCTGTATTCTGAAAATTATAAGACACTAATGAAAGAAGTGGAAGAAGAAATAAATAACGTGGGAAAGATGTCCCACGTTCTTGGGTTGGAAGAATTAATGTTATTAAAAGGTCCATACACCCAAAGCAATCTACAGAGTGAATGCAATCCTATCAAAATTCCAATGGTATTTTTCAGAAATAGAAAAATAGAAAAAAACATGATAAAATTTGTGTGGAACCATAAAAGACACCAAATAGCCAAAGCAATTTTGAGAAAGAACAAAGTTGGAGGCTTCACACAGTAAGTATTAATATAACTGGAGGAAAAATAAAAATATGGCATACTGTTACATTTATACTTTTATCTATATCTCACCATATCCCATAAAAATTTATGTCATAGTTATTAACTAATAAACATCTCACACATAATCAGTACAAAGATAATCTGTTCAACATAGTCAAAAAACCATCCATCATCAAAGACCACAGTTCAAAAGTGACAGTTATCAGTGGCAAGGTGTGATGTTTAGAATAAAATGATGTGATGTGTCAGTTCTTAAGAGTAAACACTAACATCAATGTTCCAATCTGGAACTTTGAGGCTACTAGTTCTATAGTCAGCCAACAATCAGCACTCCTTTTGTTTCCCCCTTTAGCAATTTTTTCTTTCTACTACCTGAGATGCTACAATTACATTCATTAAATAAATCCTTACCATGTACAAGCACTGTGATAACTGCTTAATACACATTCCTTCATAGAATCCTTACCACAACCTTGTGTAGTTGATCTTATTTGAAAAATGGCAAGACTTAGGCATCAAATGGTTAAAAACTGCCAAAAGTCACACAGCTAGACACTACAGTAGCCAAGAATGAAGCCAACTTCATCCACCTGCAACATCTGAGCTCTTACCACAATGTTTCACTTCGTTCATTAATGCCATGTATTATACTGTTCTTTGCAATTATAGTTTAATTCTCTGCAATTACAGCTTTCTAGGTAGTCGAAGCATTAAAACACTATACTGTAGACAATACCTGCATTAACAGGTTCCCTCCTTTACTCTTATCACCATCTGTCTAGGTACTCACTAAACTACTGCTTCTGCAATATCTCTCAGATATTTTATTGCCACCATGTTAGGCCAGGTTGCCCTTTTCCACAGGTAAAAGGAGACCAAGATATGCATGGCAAAAGTTCTAGCTACAGTTCTGAATCCTTTCCTAACAAAAGAAGGAAGACACCATGACCTCAAGAGAAGTTATTTTGTGCCCTCCCCACTCTGTATGTTATATGAATTATTGGTCCTTCATAGGCATAAATGACTGCTATAAAGTACATTAAGAAGGCCCTCTATATGAATCAAAAGACAACAACCAAGCCACTTTTTATTCAGCCTTCTTTTCCCCTGGGTAAACAGTCCAATTCACTTAATATCTTTCAAAGGATGTATTTCTCTCCTAGTCAGTCTCCTCTCCTCCTTTAATCCCTCTTACTTGAATTTAAATAAATATAACATTCTAGTGAAATCCATGCAAAAAATTCAGTAAAAGAATGGTTTCTAAGATCTTACAAGTAAATCTTATTGCTTGTAATAACTCCAATAAAATGTGGTGGGCTTTTGTTCTCCTCATCACTACACTGCTGATTCCTATTTAGTTTGCTATCAATACTGAAGGCATATCACGTTCTACAACACCCATTTCCAGTCACTTTCCAAACTGTAACCCTAGCCTTGACATGTCATCCAAGTGTGTGGATCATTTTTTCAGTTCTAGCAATTCCATGCCTAGGTGAATACCTAAGAGCAACAAAAACATATGTCCACACAAAAACTCACACACAAATGTTCAAAGCAGCATTATTCACTATGGTCAAAAGTAAAAACAACCCAAATGCCCATCAACTGACCAACAGACAAATAAAATGCAGTATACCTATACAATGGAATATCATTTGGCCATTAAAAGAAATGAAATATTGATACATGCTACAACATGGATGAACGTTGAAAATATTATGCTAAGTGAAAAAAGCCAATCACAGAAGATCACATACTAAATGATTCTATTTACATAAAGTGTCCAGAGTAGGCAGATCTATAGAGACAGGAAATAGATTTGTGGTTGCCCAGGGGACATGGGGGTATATTGGGCGTAACTGCTACAAAGAACAAGGTTTGCTTCCAAGGTGATGAAAATGTTCTAAAATTGACTGTGGTAATGGCTGCACAACTCTGTGAACAGAGTAAAAAAACATTAAATTGTACACTTTAAAGAGTATATTGTATGGCGTGTAAATTTTATCTCAATAAGGCTGTTAAAAAAAATGTTTAGTTAAAAAAATCAACTTTCTTGCCTCTACATTCCATGCCAGCTACCGCCCCATTTTCTCTGTTCCCCCTTACAGAAAAATTCCTGGGGAGAGTTGTCAGAGATTGGAGGTTAAAATATGGAAAAAGACAGTCTCTCCACAGAGAGCCAGTGCCCAGAAGCAGAACACACTGAGCACTCCACACCAGTAAAGGATGGCAAAAAATACACAGCCACTTTTAAAATAAATATGACAAAATTTACAGTTTTACAAAAAAACAGTTTTACAAAAAGTTTTGCTCTCTTCAAGACATTGACCTTAGAAGGTATAAATGCTCAAAATTGTTTTTTAATATCTTTTTTGGAAACCTCCTTCAATATGGTTAGAAATTTTCTGAAAAATGTTAAATGTAACATATTAAGCCAGGTAGGATAGATATTATAATTGAAAATCAAGCCAAAAGCCAGCAGAAGTCAACTCTGATGAATCATGTAAATAATCATTCTGAATACCAATTTTAGTCAAAATATATCTCACAGAAGATATATTATGAGGTCAAATTATTCTGGAACTGTGTTATTTTTTGTTAAGTAGTTTATTATATGTGAAAAGTACAATAGGCACTTCAAACACTCACTTCCAAGTCTACTGAAAGATCCCAGAGACATATTTGCCCATCATGGCATCCAGTCACGATCGTGGCCCCATCATCTGTTAAAAGTACTGCTGAGATGCAGTGGGTTGGTGCTTTGCGACCCCAAAGAACAATGGGTAGAACAAGGCTGTTTCCTGCCATTGTGCTTTCAAACCTGGAAATGTTATAAGAATAATGTCAAATGTTATATTTCCTTCTAAAACATATTACACATTTTTCTTATGAAGCCAACTTAAACTTCCTAAGTGCCAAGAATTCCTCTAAACATTATATATATAAATAAAACAGACACATACATAAAAGTATATAAAATCTAATTAAAATCTCAATTAATCCCCACAACAAATCACACGGTAAGTACTATTAGCACTCTTCTTTCACATGTAAAGACAGTGAGTCATAAAGAGTTGCAAAGTGTAAATGGAAGAAATGGAGCCCCAGTCAAGACCCAGGCAGCCTGACTTAGAACCCGGGGTCTTACTCACTCTGCTATGCTACCAAGGCAAGTGAGGTCTCCAAATCTTGTTAAGTCGCCAAACCAGTAATAGTTAGCAATGTCCAAGAAAAACAGAGAGTTTTTGACAGTGTCCTAAACATTGAAAAGAATATTGCCCACTGAGAAACTCATTCACCATATTTAGTACAAACCTATTATGTCTCAAAGTCACGAATGTCTTTTATTCTAAACTCTGAAACCTGAGGGATAAAGAACTTTAAACTCATTTCTGAATAATAAAAATTTAGTTCTGGTAAAGGCGTTTAAATTTGAGATGACAAAATTAAGATCTAGTTAGTGAAACAACTAGATTTAGGTGTTACAAACTGTGTGATTAAAGACTTAAATACTAGTTCAGAGAAGTTCAAGAGACATGAAAACTGGCATAATCAGAGAGGGCTCCATATAAGACAGAGACTCTGCCAGACTTTATGAGACACTAGGAGTCACTCATAGGCTTGGTTTCTACGTGGCAACAAAAGATATACGTACAATGTAGACTCTTTAGAACGCTAAGATTGTCCTAAGAAATTTTCAGAGACACTTAAAGGAGTAACCACTTTCTATGAAAGAAACTAGTTTAATACCCATGGTCCTACTGCTGGTTGCTTTTAGCAAAAGTCTTTTCTTTAATCCACTACTTACACTCTTTAAACAAATAAATAAAACTAAAACTAAAATCCCTTTCCCTGGAAAGAAAATTAGGCAAGTAGAACATTATGAATGATGTTTACCAAACGCAGTCTATGTATATTACATCTTTTATTTTTTGTTAGAATTCATGGCTTTCATCAATTTGCCTCCCCCAAAACTTCATCTGTTTGCTACAGGTAAAAGTTGTTTGCTACAACTTGGGAAAAATTCCAAGTTCCCTTCCTATTTATAAAACCATTTATGTATCATGTTCAGCAGTTCATAGACTACTATGACATTAACAATTCTTTCCATATTCCTATTTAATATCAGAAAATGAAACAAAGCACTGAGCCAACTTTAACAAATTTGGTACAGCATGTTCCTGGCTGAATAACATATCCAACAGTGACTTTCTCAAAAAGAGAATCTGGAAGGAGTTCATTCTTCCATGGTGACAGCATTCATTTTTAAGCTATATCACCAAAGATTTCTCTCAATTAAATAAGCTCACAGCATCTAACACAATATGGTGAGATCTGGAAAGAATATTTATCTCGATATTTGAGCACTTGTATTCGATACATATACCTAGCTCGAAGAGAATGCAAATACACAGATTCAGCACTAAGGAATATGTGTGTGACAGGGAGACGTGTCTGTTCTGATGTAACAGGAAAGAAATTTCTGGTATTCAAGTGACAAGGAGCTCAAGGAAACCTGGAAGAAGAATACATTTCATAGCTCTTAAAACAAGTGAAAATAATCGCCCATAACATGATAAAGGTATTGGAAAACACAAGAAGACACATCCATCTCTAACTCAGCTTCTCCAGAAACTAAAACAAATCCACATTCTAACGAAAATCAGGAACTGACAGTCAATCAGAATCTGAGAAGAATTCTCATTAAGGGCAATTAACAATCTTCATAAGGGAATACATTGTGTTAGTTTCCTAAAAACTGCCCTGACCACAAACTGAGTGGCTTAAAAAACAGAATTTGTTGTCTCATAGCTCTTGAGCTAGAAGTCTGAAAGTAGGTGGTGTCACAGTTAGTTCCTTTTGAGGGTTGTGAAGGGAAAGATCTGATCCACGCCTCTCTCCTTGGCTGGTAGAAGGCCAACTTCATGCTCACATGGTGTTCTCCTATGTACACGTCTCTCCCTTTTTTTATAAGGACACAGCCATGTTGGGTTAGGGCCCACCCCGATGACCTCATTTAACTTGATTACCTTTATAAAGACTTCCAAATAAGGGCACATTCTCAGGTACTAGAGGTTAAGACTTCAACATACGAATTTTAGGGGAACACAATTCAACTCATAGCAGGGAAATGTCCTTTTAAAAGAACATAGCCTAGGGCTTCCCTGGTGGCGCAGTGGTTGAGAGTCCGCCTGCCGATGCAGGGGACACGGGTTCGTGCCCCGGTCTGGGAGGATCCCACGTGCCGCGGAGCGGCTGGGCCCGTGAGCCATGGCCGCTGAGCCTGCACGTCCGGAGCCTGTGCTCCGCAACGGGAGAGGCCACAGCAGTGAGAGGCCCGCGTACTGCAAAAAAATAAATAAAATAAAAGAACATAGCCTAAAATTAATTATCCAAAAAGCAATTCTCCCTTAGGAAATAATGTTACAGAACTTCACTATATCTTTTCCAGGGGATCATACTACATCAGCTTATCTGCTATTACAACTGCTTATCTGAGGAATTAGGTAAGAAGTTCTGTCCAACCAAGGTGGGGGGGAGGGGGGATCGAATTCAAAATTCACTGCTCTATATCCAAGGACATTAGGGATTCATTGGGATAAAAAAAAAAAAAATCACATTTTTCTGGAAAAGGCCCAAATCAAAAGTGACTGAATAAATGATTAGTGCCATATAGTATTAACTGTAATAGAAACTCTGAAGAAAATTCTTACTAACTCTCCAAAATATTGTGTACAATATACTCATATTTTGTAACTAATACATTAAGGGGAAATACCACCTTTCAAATTTTAGAGTTATAAATAAATATGCTGTACGACTAGATACTCCTAAAAACAGAAGAATACTAAGAACATTAAATTTTCATCTATGTTTGTATCAAATCTGACTTAAAATTATATTTAGACATTGGCTATTAAATAAAACTCTTTTACTGAAAAAGCTTTAGAGTCAAATAATAGAAGTTCTAGATTCTACCCCTCATTTTGCCACCAACCAGGCAGGCTTTGAGCGTATCATCTCATTTCTGAGGCTTGGTTTTCTCATCAAGAGGTAGTTATAAAATTAATTTTGAATCATTTTGAAGTCAAAGAAATCAATTCATAAAGAGCAGGGGTCTGAGAGAGAAAAAAATCAAGTCATCTCTTTTGGTTACCTTAATTGCATGTATTTCTATTTCACCTAATTGCACCTATTTCTCAGTTCTATACAGAAATAAAACCATACTTCAGTTAAAAACAACAACAAAAATAATAGTTGAAAAAACACTGAACTTACAGTCAGAAGAACTATATTCAAATCCTGACTCTTCTATGCAATCTTGAAAAAGTTACCCCTCTAGGTCTCAGCTTCCCCATCTGTAAAAGATGGACGATAATACCCTCCTTTCAGAAAGCTGTCATAAAGGTTAAGAGAGATCATATATGTAATGCAACTAGTAAAATATCCATCACATGGCAGATGATCAGCAACTATTAATTTTTTTAAAACACAGATTCTGCTATTCTTCACATGCTGCTTCCACATCTACTGATTTCTTTCAGCACTGTAGCTTAACATTTAATAAAGTTGTACCTTTTCAAGAGGTTACTATCTTTCACTGACTTTTTGACACAATATAAAAGTACTACTACTGTATATGCCTGTCAAACAATTCTATCTGCAAATATGACAATTCAATTCTGCATGACGTTATTAGAAATAATACTACAAACTCCAATCCCAATACTAAGACAGCTTTCAAATTAAATTCTGATCTCATTTCCCAAGTTTCCATTCTGTGTCTATACCATGGAATTACAACAGGAGATAAAATAGACACATTGACCTACACAATGGGGCTTACACACATGCAAACAACTACCACAGAGTGTGATACAGGAGGAATCTCAAGACCTAATGGAGACACAAAAGATGGATATCCTAACCTATACTTCAGGAAGGGTTCTTGGAAGAAATGATGAGTGAGAATGAGTAGTAATTACCCAAGGAAGAGGCTCAAGGAATCACATATTCTAAGTCCCCAAGGTGAGAGATCTCAGTTCTTTCCGGACAGTGAAAATAGCAGGGCTGGCATTCAGAGCACAAAGGCAGAATGAGACAAGAAACAACAAGCCCACATGCACCAAATCATAAGAACTTGGTATCCCACCTCAAGGAATTTGGAGTTTAACCTGATAGCAATGGAAAACAGGTCAACTGTTTTAAATCTGATTAGCTTTTCAGAAAGATCCCTCTAGCTACAATACAAAAGGGAGGGAGAAAACTCTGGGTTTGAAGACCAGTGGGGCTACTGCAGTACTGCTGGTAAGAGAGATGGTGCCTAAATGTATCACAACTTCATTACTATTTCTGGATTTCTCTGTCTAATGGCTGTCTCCCCTACTAGTCTTTAAGCTCCCTAAGAACAAGAACCACATCGATGTATTTACCACCATATGATGTGGATGGAGCATAGTGTCTGCCATATGGGACATCTTTAATAAATATATGATGAAGGGTAGCAGTGGTGAAAATGGTAATAATAAGATGAATATGAGAGCTGTTTTAGATTTACAATAGATAGGACTTGGTGTTCAACACACCAAATTGATAAAAACACAACATAGATTTCGATACAGTTTTTTTACACAAAGGTACTTCAAGAACAGTTTTTTTACACAAAGGTACTCCAAGAACAAACAAGAGAAAACAATTTAAAATACTAAACGCCCTCTACATAAAGAATAGGCACTATTATTATGATACTGATGCCCAGTGAAGTCATCAATAATTTCAGATTCTAATATGTGAGATAAATTATTATACACCTAACCAGAATTTACAAATTTAGGTTTTGAGAAGTAAGAAGATACTGCAAGGTTTCACAATGGTCTTGAGCAGGACCAGAGTTTAAAGAGACTTAATGGTCCCATAACTATATATCCATCTAAGCAGAGAAGCAGTATGCTAAGACTATTTGAGATAGTATACAGGAAAAGCAAATGGGATGCTACTGCAATAAGCCTGGCTGCAGTGATAAGAACCTGGCTAAAATGATGAGAGTTTTGAAAGAAAAAGAAAATATAAGGCATTATAGAAGAACAGTAAATCATCGGGTTTGATGAAATATGTAAGGCGTGAGGCAAGAAAAAGACATGAATGACTATTACTGTTGCAACAAAAATAGAAATGAGGTTTTTCCTCTCCTGATAACCAGGAAAATAAAGGGAACAGTGAACAGGCTAGAGAAGAAACATAAACTGGCCTGAGTTAATCAATCCTAGTTTTATTTTAACTGTTACTAATCTGTAGTGTCTATAGTTAGATTTGTCCTTCACAAAACTAACCTGTCACCCCTAATCCTGTGTAATTTAGGTAATTTACACCCTGCACCTGGTATTTACTCTTTACTCTCCCTATAAACTCTTGTAGCAAATAACCCCTTGTAGCTGTTTGCATTTCAGAAAGGAGGTCATATGTAGACCGATAACCCAGAGGCTAACGGACCCAATTACCAGGTTGCCTGACTCCAGCAATGACTGTTTTGAAATAATGCAAGACCTTCACCATTTTGATCCTTATCAGAACTCCCCTATAAGAATCCCTGTAATTCCCCAGGAAGCGGGGGGCACAGTTCTTGAGGCACTAGCCTGCTATGCCTTCCCTTTGCCTGGCAAAGAAAATAAAAAGCCTCTCTATCTCTCACCTTCCATTTCTCTGTCTCCATATTTTTATTCAGCATTGGTGCACAGGGAGCCAGATTTGGCAACATTACTTTCCAAGCAGAGTGATAAGAGAAAGTAAGCAAGCATGGGGGTGGGGGGAGGAGGGAGGAGGGAGAGAGGAAAATAAGAACGTAATGAGGCAACAGAGAAACAGAGGCATAATCTGGTCTCAGAGAAATTAGAGCTCAGAAAATATGTTCACAAAATGGCACCAGAGAACTCAACAAAAATCGTCCCACGTGAACGGGAAAAATCCAATCACCCTTTGCCTGTATCAGTGAACCAAGTCATTGCAAAAGTTGATGAAATATGGGTCAACCTCCTGCTGTTTTGCTTTTGTTTTTGATATTTAAGCAGTTGTAAAAGAAAGGCTTTTGTAACTGACAAAAAAAAAAAAAAACTGCCTTCCTAATATAGAAATGGAGAGAAGTATATAGCCCGTTACCATCTTATAGAGATCTATTTGAGTGGATATTTATTTATTTATTCTTTATAAACACAAGTACATAATATTTGAAATTCCAATTTATCACAAGTTTACCCTTCAATGGGGCCCTTCCTCCTTAAAGATAATTTAAAAAACAACAAACAACCCAGGTGTCACTAAAGTGGGAACACGGACTTCTCTCACTGTTACCAAGAACAGACTGGCTCCAGGGTAAGAGGCAAGGAAGGTGTTGGTGACTGGACTGTGAAACTGTAACATCAGCGCTGACTCCAAGCCTGGGGGAGCCAGAACGGTAAACCTATCCAGCAGCCCCTGGAGCAAACCCCACTTTAAGAGGTTTTATTCTCAGGTTCTGTGAGCGGCAATCCCCTTAGTGGATTTTTTTTCCCTTAATTTAAATAGGCACAGAAGAGCTTAGTTGCTCACATTTTCCAAATTCAAAGTTGATAGAAAAGAAAATTAAACCCGGTTTCGCAGTTTTATCAAAATCTGCCATAAAAGGGAAAGAAGACTACAAAGTTTTGCCTAAACATAACTACTCACTATGGGAAGGGGCCGCTGAGCCCCTCCTCCCGCCCGCCACATTTAGGTCCTTCAGCAACTCTCTCAAAATCACACTGCAAACTCATCTCAGAGCTCAGAGACACACACAGACCTCCTGATTCCTAATGAAGTAAATACCCTTCCTTATTCTATGTTGTCTGCATTTACCACAAAATTCCATTTACCAGAAAACTTCATTCTCCAGTCAATCTGGTTAATCAAGATTTTACTAAAACACATTACTCAAAAGTAAGTAGAACTGTAGTATTTAGGGATGAAATGATCTGATGTCTGGGGTCTGGCATGTGGGAGATGGTGGAGGGGAAGAGGGAGTAAGAGGTATTGGAAGGGATGAAGATGAAACAGGAACGTAAGTGTGATGGGTGGTATGCATCCAGATGTACCTCGGGAATAAAGGACTTATTACCCCAGCCGCTGAGAGCACTGGGCTGTCAGCCCCCACTAACGACTGCCCCAGCCAAAGGGAGACACCTTGCCGCCTTCCAGTAGGACAGCCCACATCCAACAACTGATGGATCCTGGGATAAACAGTAAAGGCCAGGCCCCCTCATATCAATTCAGTATAGTTCTGAAGGGTCATTCCATCTTTGGAACTACCCCCAGGCTCAACTGAGATTCCTTCCGCTGAGACTCATTACAGCTCAACTTCTCCCTCTGGCCAAATCTGCTTCCTTTCCCCAGGTGTCTGACTAAAAGCACTCCCTTAGAAACCTCAGTGCTAATCTCCATCTCAGAATCTGCTTGCCAGGGAACCCAAACTGTAAAAATAAACGTTGAGGTTCCTTTTAGTACAAGAGTGTTCATTACATTGTTCTTACTGTTTTTGTGTGTTTGAAAATTTCTCTAATTGTTAATGGGTACATGGAAAGAACTTTAGTGTCCATAAATCAGGGATTAAATAAATTATTAGAGTCTTACAATGGAACACTGCAGCATGAGATATGAAATAATCTCCAAAATATATAGTGGGATGAAAAGGTGCAGTACAGTGTATAAAATACATTCCCATTTTAGGTTCTAAAAGGGGTATATATATGTATCTACACACATCTGTAATACACACACACACAAACGTTTAGAATAATTCTGTAATGATACCAAATTTTTAAAAAAAAAAAAAAACAGTAATGAAAACTACCTCTGAAAAGGAAGAGTAAGAGAAGTAAGAGACTGGATTGTGTGGGAATCCTGATTCTCAAGATAAATCCTTTGGTCTTAAGGGGTTTTTAGCCCCGGCCTTTGGGTATTTCACTGTATTCCAAAAACAGTTTAATAAATAAATTAAATGGCCCACGGGACTTCTCTGGTGGTCCGGCAGTTAGGAGGCCGCACTTCCACTGCAAGGGGCCCAGGCTCGATCCCTGGTAGGGGAACCAAGATCCCACAAGATGTGCAGGGCCAAAATAAATAAACAAATAAAATAAAATCCATGGCCGTGATTCACCAGGTTCTTTTATTTTAAAGATGCACATACACACACAACATGGAGTTTTCAAAAAACCGTTTAACTTTAACAAGTATTTGTCTTTAGCCTATAACCTGTTCCAACACTAGCTCCTCTCTGCTGTGAGTGCCCTGTCCCCAAACCTGTGATTCACTGCTCCTGCAACCACGTTTTCACAAGATTTTCTACACACTGGTGCAGAACACTCGTCACTTTGTGTGTAGTTATTTGTT